AAGTCCTTTCTATAGGGAGGGCCTGTAACATACGTGTTAAGCCAGACAGGCCGTGGAAGGAAAGACAAATGGCGAGGGAGTCGCCAGAGCTCATTCCTTCTGCCTCCATGGTTGTGCATGGCATTCCCGAACTGGGAACGCCTGCGAAAAGCATTGTCATGATGTACAACAATGGAGATGGTTGGCATCCCAGATGGCCCTGGGAGTTCAGGGGCTGTCTCTATTTATAGACTGCCTCGACCCACTCATCTTATGTCAATTAACTCGCCACGTCTGTTAGCTGTCAAGTTCAGCTCCCAAGACCAGTTGACTACCGCTCTCCATAGATGGTACGAGACCAAGGACAAGGTCAGCAAACACATTCGCTGCTGCGAGAGCCGGCCTCGCACTCAAAGGAGAGAACAAAGCGTAGTAAAAGAAAATCCTCAACCCCTAGTCACACTACAGCGGTGCAGCACGGACGATGATAGCCAGTGTCATCCGAGTGCTCCGACTGAACTAGAAGAAAAAACGCCAACAGGCCGGTTCCTGGGGAATCGGCCAACTAGTTCGTAGGATAACTCCTCAACCGATAGCCAATATCAAGTCAACTACCCCCAATACGGGGAAGTGGTGAGACTGACTACCAGTTGCCTGTACAGTAATGTGAGAGGGCTAAGAGGCAAAATAGCTGAACTTAGACACCTACAATCACAACTAAACTCCAAAATCATAATACTGACGGAAACCTGGCTAACCCCTACGGTGGCAGACAGCGAAGTCAGTATAAATGATATGGTCCTAGTCAGGCGAGATAGGGACCTGAAAGAAGGAGGTGGAGTCGCCATATACGTCGACAAACAGCTCAGATGTGTTCACGCGATGGACCCTCCCCTCACAGAGCTCCCTGACTCCATATGGTGCCACTTCACCGTTGGGTACTGCAAATATCTAGTGGGCAGCATTTATCGATCACCTTCATGTGGAGCAGACCACAACCAGGTACTGCTAAATACAATCTCAGCGACTCAAGACATGGGTTATGATCAAATTGTCATAGCTGGTGACTTCAATGCCCCATCTCTTAACTTGGTGTCGGGAAAAGCCCATGATAGATTTGATCGAAATCTGCTGCATACCATCAGGAAGGCTGGATTCACTGAAAATGTCAGGATGGTAAGTCTTCTAGACTGGATTACGTGCTCACTAGTGACCAGCTACTAGTGGAAAACGTTCAGATCACGACTCCCATAGGTAGTAGTGACCACGCGGTCATAGTATTCGACATAGTCCTCCGCGAGCGCTTACAGTGGGACAATACACAGCCCTATCTGTGTTATAACAAAGCCAACTACACAAAATGCGAAGACTTCTGTCTGAAGCAAATTGGCCTAAAAAATGGACAGAGCTAACAGTAGAAGAACACTGGAGAGTGGTAAAGGAGATCATTCACCAGGCGGTCTCAGACACTGTTCCTTTAGTCACACCAAAAGCTAGGAAGCAACGATCATGGCTAAAAAGGGGGACACAACGCCTTCTGCAGGCGAAGCGAAAAGCCTGGTTTGCGTGGCGACGATCGAAGAGTCAACCCGAACATGAACTCAGGAATCGATGTAACATACGAGTCCGGAGCGATAGAAGGACATTTCAGGGAAACCTCGCCAATAAGCTTCTCGTGAACCCCAAAAGCCTATACAGGTTTATGTCCGAAAGAAAACCGACCAACCAGGGAGCATGCAATCTAGTGGGTTCTGATGGGAAATCTCTTACTAGTCTTGAAATGGCAGAGACATTCAGCCTAGCCTTTCACAGGCAACTAAACAGTAACGAGGATATTACCCCCACAGAACATCCAGATTACATCGCAAAACCAACACGCGAAAACCTGCTGGGTACATTTCAAATTACCCCGGCTATGGTACTTGCAAAATTGGGAAGGTTGGCTTCGGGAAAGTTTCAGGTTGTGATGACATCAGACCATCTGTCCTGAAGCAGTGTTCAGAAAGTCTCTGCCAACCCCTAAGTGATCTGTTCCAACACTCCCTTGATGTAGGGAAACTTCCATGTGAATGGAAACGTGCAATCCTATCCCCTATCTTCAAGGGTGGTGACCGGCAGAATGTGACCAGTTACAGACCAGTTGCTCTACTTCCAGTGGTATCGAAGATATTGGAAAGTCTCATTGACGACCACATGAGAAAATACTTCGATGGGACTAACCTTCTTCACGAAGCACAGCACGGTTTCAGGAGGGGAAGATCCTGCGTGACGAATCTTCTACTAGCTTGGAACGATTGGACACTATCCTGGGACAAAAAGGTACCAGCCCACGTGATCTTTCTCGACTTTGCGAAAGCATTCGACACAGTTCACCATGGTCTGCTCCTTCACAAAATAAGCAAGGCGGGTGTTTCTGGAGCACTTCTCGCATGGCTGACAGATTACTTAGGCGAGAGAGAATTCTGCACCAAAGTCAACCGCATCCGATCATCCTGGCACACCTCGGCATCAGGGGTTCCTCAGGGTTCTATCCTAGGGCCGTTGATGTTTTTGATTTTTATCAATGACCTGCCCCCCCAACTAAACTGCTCTGCGCTTCTTTACGCTGACGACGTAAAGATTTGGAGAGCAATAAACTCATCGGAAGACTCAGATAGATTGCAGGCTGACCTGCAAACTCTGGGAAATTGGGCTTTGGCTAACGGAATGCCTTTCAATCTAAAGAAGTGCAAAGTAGTGCAGCTTCATTCCGGCAGGTCACAGAGTGTAAATTACACCCTTGGTGGCCAGAACTTGAGTTGTGTTCCATCAGAGCGATCTAGGTCTTATTCTAACAGAAAAGCTAGACACCAGTGGAAATTACTCGAGGGACGTCGCCAAAGCCTACGCAACTTTACACTTTATGCATAGGCAGCTGGGAGCTCTCACTCCCGAACTGTTCTTAAGGTTATATAAGGCATATGTGAGGCCACACCTTGAGGTGCATAATATCATTGCACCTCCGCTACTCAAAAGGGATGCTAACATTCTAGAAAGTGTCCAGAGACGAGCGACAAAATGGGTGATCGGCCTCCGCAACAAATCATATGAGGAAAGACTAAAGAAATTAGGTCTTTTCACACTTAGTTACCGTAGGCACAGGGGAGACCTCATCACCGTCTACCAGATCCTAAATGACCAGGCCCACCCAAATAAAAGCATCCTGCCATTAAGTGATTATAGGCTTCCACGAGGTAACCCGCTAAGGATAGCACACCAGAGACCAAAGACTCGAGTGCGATCACATTTCTTTTCGCTTCGTGTTTGCCGTCTCTGGAACGCTTTACCGGCGGCCGTGACTACAGCGCCATCTGTGGAGATTTTTAAGCGGAAGCTAGACAATCATGCAGAAATGCAAGGTTTGTGTCTCAATGGCTTATCCTCATAAAACTTAAAACCACACTGTCAATGGATAAGCGCACAAACTAAATCTCCCACGACCTATTCTGCCTTCTCTCACTCTACTCTATCTTTTCCTTAGGTCACCTTTATTATTCCACTTATCTCAACCTATATTATCTACACTACAACCTATTATTATTAATATTCTGCTTTTATGACTACACCGAATGACCAACGGGAGTTAGGTCAAACTCCATTCACGGCAGCAATACAGTCCTAACATACTGCATACTACAAACCACATCTCGACCAATCCCCGCACCACTCCTCCTGGAGTCTACCAGAGCTAAAGCAGTCGAGTGGCGGGACTTACTACGCAGAAGCTCACCGAAGATCTGGAACCTCTACCTCACAATCAAGAAGCGAGCTCAAAGAAATCACTGGTTTATACCGGCTCGTAATCAGGATATTGGATATTGGAAAGGTCGATAGGCTTTTTACTAATGAAACGGTCTAGTGCCAATTTTCATGTCTTCTACCGTTACAGATAAGACCGGTGTATTGAGAAGTGTTGAAAGTTAAATTCACTGTTTCCAGTTTCGCGTGTAAGCTATGATTCCGTGGCGGCGATGACATCCTTGGATTTATTGTGACTTCAAAAAGGCTCACCAAAGTGATTAACTATGGAGCCGACGTTTTTACCAACTGTGTACAGTTAATGAGTGGTTATGCCTGCTACTTGTGTAGGAGGTAACTTGTCTAAATTTGGTGTTGTTAGGCTGAGATTGTGTTGGCTATAAAGCAGCGGAATCTTTCAGAGAAAAGAGGTCTCATGCACCTGTTTCGCTACTATTTAGCGCCAAGTACCAGACTCTTCTTTTTACATCATACTGCGAAGGTGACTGCTTATTATCCACCTGCGCTGTAGATAAGGCCAAATTCCCAGTGTCGGTGACAACGCAGCGACCCATGATGTAGGTATATGACACTTCTTATACCTTTAAAGGACACCAGGGGCATTGCGTCTTGAGCTTGCAATTGGTTTCCCGAGGAATCCAAGCGACTTATAAATGAATGACGCTAGTGGTATCGTTAGTATACCAGCTCTAGCTGCCTTCCTCCTCCCATTGGGGTCCTTAACAGCCCAGGAGTTTCACTGCTCCGTTAGGCATCGTGCTAGCCATCTTGATCTAGTGTTTCTTCGTGGCGCAACAGTCTTCGCTGACTGAACGTGCGAGGGGTTTGACGTGACTCTCGGTTTTATTACATATCATTATATACTGGGTAACAATACACTGTCTTGTCACAACAATTCTTTCTTTTCGTTCTGTTTTCCGAACGCAAATACAGGGGCATATAAAAGGTGACAGTTGTGATCCAAAGTTATAAAGGTTGGATGGGTACAATAGAAAAAGCAGATTTTCACTAAACAAACTAAAAACCGAAACTACTATTAGCTGACGCTCATAATAAATTAGTTGAGATACATCTTGAAATCATTTTACTATTATATAAATCACCTTCTGAACGAATGATGGAGCGTGAAACCATTGAATTTTGTACAGTTTCGTTTTATTTTTCTAGGCCAAAATCAGGCCTGATTTACCTTGTCCTCATATTCGAAAGTATGGTGAGTATATGCGTTTTGTCCTTGTTTTTGATTTTCAGATTGCATATATATTCACTTCTCACTTTATGGGTTCTTAGTATTTTATCAAGTTTATATGTCAAGATATTAAATAGTACATTTTTTCATGTGTTATGTGCAAATAAGAACTTCATAAATAAATTACGCAGTTCTAGCACAGGTGACTTGTCGTAGTCATGTTTCCCTTCGTCTGACTAAACTTTTTGTTACATACAGATTAAAATTCACCTCTTATGTGTTTTTAATTTCTGTCACAGGCATTTTATGTCTATCTGATATTAGGTGATGGTGGGATATGGAGTTCGTATGTTCCCGGGAAATGTAACGTCTCAGGTTTTGTACCCCTGACTGAACAGGTGCTCTGCGATAAAAATGAACGCTAAGCTACCCTAATCGCAGTAGGTCCCGATAGTTTAGTTTGTTCACGTCTTTGCACGGTAACAAAATGTCAACTATTTTCAAACATGGTTTACATGTGTTGGACTTCAGAAGACAACTCATATAGTCTGATATAATCTAAGCCTGCAACCATTAATTTCTTTACGTAACTGAATTTTATACTTACCCTCCGTCGGGCTCAGTTGGGAAAATATTTCTGACGGCTCGCTTAATATGGGGTTGTTCCAGGAACTAGTTAGCATTTGATAAGTTCTAATGATGATGAATTGTTTTGAAGTCATTGTTTGATTTCCTTCTATATTTTGGAGTCTCTATTATCCTCTGCTTGCCTCGTTTTATTTCCAGAAATCCTCAGTGCCCTTCTGTCTCCCCTTCAAACTAATGTAGTCTTTCTGACGAAGTAAATCAGTCCAATTCCACAGCTATTTTATGGATTTAAAATAAGATGACATTAATCACAATGTGGATTTATTCAAACATTTTGTCTAACAACAGAAATCTGACACCTCATCCACATAATGTTTACACATTCCTACATGTCATATCATGTTTGTTGTTGATCCCTGGATTGAGCTGTTCACAAGGTGAGTATTTTTCTTTATTTTACTATCACAAACATTTGTTCCACCAGTCATAAGTGCTTTTCTGTTAAGGTTCCTAAATGTGTTTCTGATAGACTAAAATACCATATATATATGAGCCTTAGGATCTTGGATTAATTTGTCAGCTTAAGCCGCTATTCTGTTTGACTCAGTTTTACCTGTAGGGTTCGGAAATGGAATCTAACTTTATGGACTGCTTAAGTCTATCATGCCGTTTTCTTTCATTGCTGGCTGTTTTTATGTAATGTCACTGTGTAAGCTAGATTTTCCAGTCGCCAATTTTCATGGTGACGAGTAAATCCAAATATGTTTAATGAAAGTTGGATTTAAGGTTCACTAACATGGTCCTGCTTGCTTAAGAATATCTTAAAATACAGAATATATAAATGGAATTGATATAGAGATCCTTGATTTCCCGACACAACAAACTTTGTTATATTCCTTATTACTCATGAGTATGGACTTAAATGTTGTCATGAAAAGCAGTTACCAAACTTGAGTGTTGAGATCGCGATCAATTTTTTGCCACTGGTTAAGTAATTCGAATAAGTTTGTGATCAAGAGCTCTTCGAAAGCCATTAACTTCACCTATCATCTGTTTGTTGTCCTTAGGATGGCATCGGGAAATAAGTATTGTAGATATAATGATTTTACAACAGTCTGTTTCGTTAGTAAACTTTTTATTGTAAAAATAAGGTTAAATAAATTCTCGTTGCGTGGTGTGGGGTAGTGTTGACATACTTAATGCAAGTGGTAGCAGTCACCCTTATATTCACAATGTCCAGGTTTTATTGTGGATCGCCACTATGAAATAAATTAAATTTGAAAATTACTTTCGTAGATCAACAAATTCACACTGCTTATTACACCCACACGCTTCCACTAATATATGGACTTACTCCCCGTTAGTGTATACTAGTAAAACCCCATAAATGAATATAACTATGTTTAACAATGTACCAACTTCGTATATACTTCATGCGTTTCGTTTGTTGCCAGGTGATTACTCTAAACGTCTGAAAAATGCATATCACATCTGCCTTAACCTTACGATACGGAATAATGACTCATGTAAACCAGTAGCATGAATATGCTACGATATATTTCTGAAGTAAAAGATAATATTTTCACCACTGTTGTTTCTGTGGTGTCATCACCTAGGTTATCAGTTTTGACCTGATGAGTCATAGGTTAAATCCACACTCCATTTACCGCAGTTGGGACAATAGTGTTTTATCATCAACTCTCACACCATAGATATGACTCAATCCTGTATGCAAATGTGCATTTAGCTGTTGATTAGTGCTTCACTCATGCAGTGATTTTATTGCAATGAATGGGATATCTTTACGGAGTCATCTTATTATTTTAGATGATACTGTAGATGTGTTTAGAGTTGCAACACTTGGTAGTTTTATTTCAGACTCTCGTCTACCTATTTTATAAGCACACCAAGTAAAAGCACATATAGTGTGATAGTGGTTACAACCCTACGATGCAAACGCACCACCATCTAAACAGTTAAACTGAGTTAGGTAGGAGATGCAGACTTCCGGGTTGAGGCTCTCGGGACTCTAGGAATCAATGGCTGGAGACAATAGGTGACATGGCTCAAAATCGTTGTCAATGGCTCAGGTATATTCAGTCTCTGTAATCTTTCATATTTCTTTCTACCATTACCCATTCTGTTTCGCTCTTATACCTGTCAAACTCTATTGATTCTCTTCACTCATCTTCTTGTCTAACTTTGTGTGCTATTTGGAACGTCGCAACTCGAACTGGTGCACTTCGATGCCAAGTTCTATGTTGAATCCAGACAGACAGACAGACAACCATCTAAAGAATATGGTTGAGAAAAACACATCCTAAATCACTGATACGCTAAACTGTAGATATTTTCCGTCTTTTGTTTTGATTCTTAGGCTAAAGTTTCGTTAAATCTGTGAATTAAAAGTATTCATTTCTAGTATCTTTTGATTATAGTCCGATAAAAATAGGCATTTTACTTGAATTCACCTTCGTAAAAATAACTGTGAATTACATGTAATCAGTAAATTGTGTTAAAATTCATTGAATTTTATTCATTCATTCATTTTCTCAGAATAATGAATTACCCTGTAGTTCTAAATAATTAAGAATACTTCTTGTTGGATGTGTGTAACCAGCTTAAAAAGTCTTAAATGCAACCAACACGTTTTAACTTCCGCCGTGTTGGAATTGTGTGGAATCTGTTTCGTTACGGAACTCCCCAATTTTGACGATGTAGGTTGGAAATAAAATATAATATATAGGTAGAGTTTGCGATTGAAATGTTCTGGTGACTTAAGCATCACTAAATCTTATTTTTCAAAATCCTAATTAAGTTTAACCTATGGAAAATATTTTAAACTTTAGACTAATCACTTATATTAATTGTTATTCATACAAATAGACTTGAATTGCATTAATACAATGTACAATGTAATTCTTGTCTAACATGCTTCAATCTATTGTACTTTGATCTCCTATTTGTATTCGGATATTGGATAAATAGGTAGTTGAAACATGCTTATGTGTAGATAATTTTGCGTGCACATGTATTTTTGCAGTGTTAAAACATTTATGTTGTTTGTTTGTTTTTACAGAGAATCAATTTATTTGTATTTTTTTAGTTAAATTTATGTAATACTTTTCATTCATTAAAAAATGACTATATTAAATTATAACCGTACTTGGTATAGAAACATGCAAATGTTTTAACAGAGAGTGCCTTACATAAATTATACAATAATATTTTTGCTATTTTGTTTAGCTGAATAAATTTATAGATTGTTAGTAGTCTGTAGAGTTAAAATTATTTTTCTATTAAGAAACTAGAAACGAAGACATGGCATCAATCCATGAAATCCTTGACAGCTAAACTGAGTTAGGTAGGAGATGCAGACTTCCGGGTTGAGGCTCTCGGGACTCTAGGAATCAATGGCTGGAGACAATAGGTGACATGGCTCAAAATCGTTGTCAATGGCTCAGGTATATTCAGTCTCTGTAATCTTTCATATTTCTTTCTACCATTACCCATTCTGTTTCGCTCTTATACCTGTCAAACTCTATTGATTCTCTTCACTCATCTTCTTGTCTAACTTTGTGTGCTATTTGGAACGTCGCAACTCGAACTGGTGCACTTCGATGCCAAGTTCTATGTTGAATCCAGAGAGACAGACAGACAGAAGTAACTAGACGCATTTGATAGTTGCACTCCAAAGCTTTTCAGTTACTAGTGTGACCTGACTCAAAGTTATAGTAGAAATTTTAAGTAACGTGTTTGTCAGTAGAACAAATTCACCTGCCATCTTGTTCTACAAAAGATGTGAAAAGTCACAAGTTTTATTATCAAATAAAAATGTTCAGAGAATCTTTTGCTATTTGCGTATGTAAAGAATAGAAATGAGTGAGTTCGATTATTCGGGATCTTCCTAAAAAGAGAGAGCCTTTATCACAGATTCCGTTGCCTCACCTAACTAATATTAACACCTAAAGTCTTCCAGATGTTTACGGACTGTTTTAAAGATCTAATCTATAGATACTGCTCACATAGAACATATTAATGCATCCTTATTTGTGCATTCATTCGGTCGGCTGTTTTCAGTCCAGCAGACCTGTGATCCGAAATTTCGGAAAGCTAAAAACACCTTCGTTTTTGCCATCCTGTTCATCTGCTTGATATTTGTTATCTGTATCTAGAAAGTGATAAACTGGACGTCTTTTCAAGGTAAAAATTGAAATCGTCCATGCTGTGTGTTAATACAAGTAAGTAGATTTCGAAGAATGTTTAGTATTTTCTGGTTCAAGTGTTGTATAGTAAATAATTTAATTGACCTAGAATTTCTATATACAACATAATTTGACATATTTGTTATTATTGAGGTTGACATGTTTTCATTTTGAGACAAATGTGTTGTTTTACAGATTGCCTTGATTTTCTTGTATAAAATCTTATAGTATGAAAAAGAATACTTTTTCCGATGCACTTCTGTTTTCAATATAATTCATAATACCCGTGTGTTGGCCTTATTTACAAGTCTTTTTAGATTTTTACATAAACTAAATCAACAAAATTTTAGGAAAAAAACCCTTTTATGCTGGCAAAAGTGCTCTTTGTCTAGTTGTAATTGTAAATTCCACAGTAGATTTGCTTGATGTGGATAACTTTCAAGCGACCAATGAACTTACCTTGGTTTTCTGAACATTCATTGCGTTGAGGTTGCAAAGGATTGTTCGTCTTATGCTGCTACATAGCATAGTTTTCATATTACTCATACTTATAATATTTATCGGCCGAATTGATTAACACCATTTTGTGATATGCACCCCTTCAATTTATAGATTTGAGTTAAACGTCGTGGTAATATTGAAACATCGTTTCAAGACCGGCCATGTGGTTGATCAGTTTGGGTCATGCATATCAGTAGGAAAAGTATAAAGTATAAATAAATATCAAAGTATACAATTTCATATTAATCTGTTTATTAGATATATCACACAATGAAACGGTATTATTTACTAGATAACGTTTCGAACACAGTCTATTGTTCATAATCATATCACTTATAATCACACAACTTCGAAACTCTCGTTGAAAAAGATATGGTTCCCGTACCTAAGTAGTCTGGTAGATAGTGCTGAGTTTGAAAAAATGACTGGGGGGGGTGTTTAAGTCTTTGTATGTAGGAACATCTAGCAGACGAGTCCTAAATAGGACCAAATGCGCGTCTTAGATTCTATTACAAGTCACAAACAAACAAGGGTGGATAAGTTTCGTTTACAGATGTGTTCTTTTATCCTCATATTTACGTAAGGTACAATTAAGAAAATTCGGTGTAGTCTCTGTTCATCATGTATCATGATGGAGTAAAAAGAAGGCTCCGGAGTTGCTCATTCAGTTGATACTGATAATCACGTAATCATGAGTGTGTTTTACAATTATTCAACATATTTTTATCCAA